TGGATTTTACCGCCTTGTTTTTACAAAAAGCTGCAACACTTTTGCATCAAATGTGATGGAACCAAACTAAATGGTCAGGATTCATGAAACTGATCTGCACTGTCACTTTCAATGTGTCTTTGCTTCAGATGCATGGAGGACTTGGTAAGCACAACCAGATACGTGTCATGGTCTCTCCACAATAAGGTATACTTGATTCATTGGTCATCCTTCCACCCTCTCAGGGAGAATCTGTTCTGTTTTACGTTGCTTTTTTAATGATAACACTTACCACTTTTAACATAAGCTAGATCATATGATTGGCCTGTTGAGCTACTAATACCATTAAGTGACACGTTTGGTTCAGTAAGTTTTCAATTTCATGGCTCATTTTGTATCACTTTTGATTTCAACCATGTAGAATCGGGCTGGATTACGCCACTTCTTAGATTCATTTGGTGGAACAGAGCATTCCTATGTTTCTGGTAATTCTGCAGCAGCTGGTCTATCACAAGCAAGCACACACGAGAAAGAGGACGCAAAGCCGCGACCAGATGTAAAGCTTAGCCATGTGGCCTCTAGCATTGATTCCACTGCATCTATTCAGACTGTAGAAACAAGACTTGCTGACCTTCTGGATAGCACACTTTGGAATCGAAGGCTTGCTCCTTCATCTGAAAGAATTGTTTATGCCTTGGTACAACAGATATTTCATGGCATAAGAGAGTATTTCTTGGCTTCCACAGAATTAAAGGTTTGTGATATGTATCCTGCTCATTTGTTTAAGCCTTGGATAAATGGATTATTTGGGGAAATATTTGGCTGACCTTTAAGAAACTTTTAAATGGTGATGTTTCTCTGAAAAATCAAGCCCCTTAATGAACTTAAAAGCTTTAGAGCCTAGTTAGTGCCCACTTTAAAGTAGAATATCTTTTCCTGACACTTTCAGTTGGGCAGTATGCCTGCTAAAAATAATATTTACATCACAGATGAAGCAGCCTGCTGCACAAAATATCATGGTTAATTTTGCAATTTTGTTGTTTAGGCTAATAATTGCAGCTACAAATATGCGACAACACATCAAATTATTGATGATGTTGTGAATTATGGTGAAATTATATCAGTGATGATTTTTTTTTTTGGCAGTTCAACTGTTTCCTTTTGATGCCTATTGTGGACAAGTTACCTGCTCTTCTTCGGGAAGACCTGGAATCTGCTTTTAAAGATGACCTGGATAATGTTTTTGACATAACCAACCTGCGACACTTATTGGGCCAGCAGAAGAGAGATACCGAAATTGAACTGAAGAGGGTATTTCCTTCATGATATTTGCTTTTCTTTTCTTGCTTACATTGCCTGGTATCCTAGAAAACCTAGAGGGTTATTACTATTCCCTGTCCAAAGTAATCGTAACCTCTACTTTGTGGAACTGTTATTACTGACAATGACCTCGTGGGCATTCGGAGATGCTTTTGATATATTCATTTAACGCGATGGCATGCTAATAAATGAAGTTTTTATAAATCTTGGTGGCTCTCCAGTCTCCATTATGCTCTGTGTCTGATGTACAGTTGTACTGTGGTTTTTGCAGATCAGGAGGCTGAAAGAGAAATTCAGAATCATACATAAGCAGCTAAGTCTACATCAAGCCATGTGATTATGCCAAGTCACTGAGAAATTTAGTCGTTTGTTATGTCAAATGTAATAGGGATGTGCTTTTTAAAGATTTGTGAGAAAATGGGATTCGTGGCCCATTTGTTCCTGCTATATAGTTGTTCCATTTCTTCCTACTATATAGTTGTTGTACATAGTTTGAGATAAGCTGCACTTTCTATGACTTCTAAGTAATGCTTGTTGCTATAAATTTTATCTTCTATATTGATTGATGATGGTTAATATATTGATTTGAAATTTTGAATTGCTATGGGGCGGTGTATCCTGAAAATAGAATGAATGGGTGTTCATTATGAGGGCCTCTTTCTTGTAATAAGATTTTGTACAGTAAGTTAAATTGTCTTACAAACTGGGAAAAATGATAACTAGGGATTTCATAAGAATATTAATAATAATTATAGATCTAGAATTATTAAAATTTCAACAAACTATGATCTTTATTTAAAATAAATTATTTTTTGTTGATTGGCTTGAAATTTATAATAGTAAATTTTGAACTAACACTGTAAAGAGTTTTATTTTTTTTTGTTGATATTTTAAGGGATAGCAAAAAATAAAAATGTGATTGGCTTGTAATTTAATTAATTTTCATAAATTTTTAATTGACATTACAAATAATTACAAATATATTTAGTAAATTTTTCAAGCAATTTATTTATCTGTTGATAGCAAAAAAAAAAAAATTATAAGTGATTGACTAATGATTCACAATTAACTTGCCAATTTTTAATTAATATTATAAATAATTTTAAGTGTATTTACTTAATTTTTTAAATGGTTATTTATATGTTGATAGCAAAAAATGAAAATTTATAGTTGACTTTCGTAAATTTTTATTTGATGTTTTAAATAATTTTAAATGTATTTAATAGGTTTTTTTAACTGAATATTAGTATTTTTTTTAATTACAAACATCATGGACTGTTATTGAAATTTATGATTTATAATTATCATTAATATTCTTATGAGGTTCTTAATTATCATTTTTCTAAAAAAACTATGAACTAATATATATATGTATATATATATAATAAGTTATGCTATCTATAACTCATGGATCTTACGGTTTATTTTGTAGATTTTGTATTACAAATGGGATAATGTGTTAAGTTACAATGCACACGTATACTTATTAAAGTTTTAAAAATTAAAACGAATTAGTCAATTGAACAAATCATAACTTTTGGTTCCATCTAGTTCAATCCTCAAAATAAGACTAAGAGAAATAATCAACATTTAATAAAATTGGTTAACAACTAAAAAATTAGTCAAACTTAGACCTGTTCATATCAAATGAACTTGATAAAACATTTTAAAAATCAAAAGAAAATTAAAAAAAATTTAAAAAAACTTTTCAATTACACATATTCTTGGGCCATGTGTTGTAATTGCCGCAAAATTGTTCCCCGGCTCATCCTTTCCTTTTTAAAGATAGCCGTCACACCATTCCATCCTACTATGATCCCCATGGGATTTCATGAAATCACCATGACTCATTGCATTTTTTTTATTTTTTTTTCTTGTGCTTTTCGTTGATTTGTTTCCTTACATATTAAAAACTTTTTAAATATAAGGATATTCTTTTTATCTTTGCATTTCCTATCATTTATCTATTTTTTTTTAAGTGTAACTTAAATATGTCTTGAAAAAGTGCATCATGCTTTATATTTTTCTTAATATATTTTTCAACTTCTAAATAGAAGTCATCATTTATGAATAATGTTAATCTTATATTCACCGACAAGGTAACATATTATCAAGCATTTATAGTATTTTTGTTAAAAAATATATTTAACTCTTATTTTTATTAAGTTATAATATATAAATTAATAATATATTAATTTTATATCAACCAGTTTAACCATAATTTGACTATGATCTAACCAATAAATTGTGAACCAGTGTTGTTCGGTTCAATCATTCAATGACGAGTCTAGTTTTTAAAACTTTAGTAATCACCAAATTACAAAAGGATAAATACCTAGAAAAAAATTAAATCTTAATATTTAAAGTAATACAAGATGTTAAAATAAACTATAAATAAAAACATAAAATAACTTTAGGGTAGAGATTTTATTTTTTATTGAATGTTAATTTTTATCTTGATGCATATCAATTTGGATATATGATTAGTTTTAAAAAAATGAAAAAAAAAATGGTAGGCACTCTGTTTTGGGCTCCTCAAGCTGAAAATAGAGTGGGGCAATTGAGAAAGGAGATGTAGATTTTTTTTTTTTTTTTGTTTACCAACAGAAGATATTATAAAAGTAAATAAAAGTCTTACAAACAAAACAACCAAAAGAACGAAAAGTCTAACTAAAAAGAGATGCAGAATTTTTGGATGCCCTCATCTTAATTTTTAATTTTTTTTATAACAGAAGTTGCTGTTTGGAAGTTTATTATAATTTTTTTGATTGCTTTTTCATATTAAATGCAATCTTATTCCATGCATGATGAGACATTAATGCGAAGGACTAGATCCTCCCTTATTAGTTAATTTTTTATTTTTATTTTATGATTAATCCAACATGTTTATCATATATGAACGTTTTTGTTCTATTTTTTTATTATTGAAGATAATTGAGTATTAAATAAATATAAACACCTTTTTAAAATAAGGATTGAAATATTAATTCATTAATTATATTTTAACTTTTGAGGGATTAGCCATTTTTACTTTTATTGTGTTTGTTCAACTTGGATTTGATGACTGCATGCAATTTTTTTTTTTTCATATAATGCATATGTTTTGGCCAAAAAAAATAATAAAAATAATAATAAAATTTTTTAAAATATGTAAATAACAATTCAATCTCTCTCGAAATATCATAATTTTATTAAAATAATTTTTTAAATTTATATAAATTACTAAATTGTTCTTATTAAAAATTAATTATTCACAAATTTTATTTAAATATTTATAACTTTTCTTTTTATATTTACAATAATGCAACAACAAATCATAATTTTATATATTAAATTTTTTATTTGCTGTTATATTATTGTAAGTATAAAAAAAGTTGTAAATATTTAAACAAAATTTGTAAATCATTTATTTTTAACAAGAATAATTTAATAATTTATATAAATTTATTAATGATAAAAAATTTAAAAAAATTTAATATTTTAAAAGATTAAATTATTATTTATATATGTAAAAAAAATTAGTATTATTTTTTTAAAAAAATATGTAATGCATTTTTTGAAAATAAAAAAAAATAAAATTAGACTGGGAGCTTGGAAACTCAGTTGCCTCCTAGAAGCTCCCCACCCCCCTCCCCCGGCTACGGTGGCGCAACCAGTTCATAAGTCCCCGGACCTCCGCCCCCTTATTCGTGATTCGTTCAATTTTGTCTTCCAGTAGGTAAGTGTCTGTTCCGTTTGAGTTTTAGGTTTGCACTCTAAATATTACTTGGGAGCCTTGAGGGGTTCAGCTGATAAATACTTCGGCGTAGATTGAAAATCACATTGATCCACCAGTGTTTTAGGTAGAACCTCAAGTTCTTTATTCAATTGGTAATTGGCATGCACTGCATCATTTTCATTGCCTTCCAAATAAGACGATTTATTATTCTTGTGGAAATAAGTATTTTCAAGTATTGTTTGGGGTTGTTGGTAAGCTAATTTCGTTTTTAACTTACTGCTCAAATTAATGTTCAGATGAGTGACTTGTCCAAGGACCAACTTTTTGCTCTTCATGGGATTGCTGCTGCTGGGTCAGCGGCTTTGGCAACGGCTCTCACTTATCCTTTGGATACCATTAAAGTCATCACGCAGGTTGTAATTTTGCTTACCCTGTGATCCATGGTTTCAAAATTTCTCTAAAACTTACCTCTTCTTTGTTCGAAGGTTGGTTCAAGTTCTGGTAAGGAGTTGACTGCTGCCCAGGTGTTCAGCAGAGTGCAAACGTTGTCGGGTAATGAAGGTATAGTGGATTTTTCAAATAAGAAAATAGAACAAGCAAGCAGAAGGATTACTTAGTTGATTCTTTATTTGCTTTGGTTCGATTGGCATGTGGGATTTTTTTTCCCTTAAGGCAGATTATTGCACTGTGGGTATTTGGATTACAAAACCTGCAGCTTTTTCCCCTGAATTCTGATACACTGTCATTAAGTTGATTATTTCGTACTCATATTTTTTCCTTGGCTATTACGGCTTTTTGGCTTGCACAATCAACACATTTTCTTCTCTGGACTCTTGATGATTAATTATTTATATGGTTATTTTGGACGTTGCAGGTCTGTACAGTGGCTTTCGTTGGTTGGCATTAGGAAGGATTTTAGGTTTGGGGATACGATTTGGGGTCTATGAAATCTTGACAGCCTTTTATAAAGGTATTACATATATATATATATGTATATTTTCTGTTTAAAAATGTCAATTGAAAAAGTTAGCACTGCTTTATATATATATATATAGAACTATGTCATGCCCCTAATATTTGTATATGTTTCACCATTCAAGCATCAAGCTGTAGCCTCGTTAGTTTGCACAGCTATATGTGCATTTTAAAGATGTTCTATGAACGTGAACACTTTGGTTGGTCATTTCTTGTTCTTACAGTGGTAGCATATGCTTATTATCTGTGTTACCTAACGGTCTTTAGCTAGGATTTTTTTCTTAAAGCAATATCTATTTGGGGTTTTAACTTGTATATATGATCAACTAGTGCTAATCTTAGTGATATTGGTGGTCACAAATACATGTGTAACAGATGGTCGGGAAGATAACTATGTATATGTTTCTGAGGCCCTTATGGCTGGAATGGTAGCTGGTGCCATGGAGACACTTGTAAGCTCTCCATTTGAAATCATCAAGCTTCGTGCTCAGGTCACTTCTGCTTCTGTCATGCCAGGCTCTACCTTTGCTTTGGAGAAGGGAGCCAATGCTCCTCTAATTGCAAGATTAATTAATGGGTGTTATCCAGACAAGAGGTCTTTGAACCGTTATGTTGGTCTCATCACCACCCTAACAACCAAAAATTCAAACATAACAGGTGCTCTATTGGAATATCCATGGACAATGACTGGATCTGGGAAGCCACCCTCAGTTTGCCATGTGAGGAAGCCTTCAGACATTATATCTTTGGAAGGATGGGGTACATTATGGAGAGGAATTCGTTCTGGTGTTGTTCGAGATTCTGTATTTGGTGGTGTATTTTTTTCTAGTTGGCAATTCTTGCACCAAGCACTGCTTGATTGGAAGGCTGCAGGAATGGATCCTCCGCCCAGGTTCATCTCCTAGACTTTGATGAAATGAATTTTTTTTTTTAATTTTTAAACAGATTTCTTCCTGCTGTCTCTACTTGAGTTTGACACTTTTAATTGTACTGGTATTCTGTTTGGTCCGTGAAAGAATCTTAATTTAGGAGAAGCCAGACCACAACTGATGATATTGAAAACTTTGGGGGTTACAGAAATGCTAGATAAACGCACTAATTTTTTCATTCTAGTTAATTTAATTTAATAATATAGCAAAATTATGAACTGTGTTTTTGATGGGTACCCAAGTTGGATGGGGAACCCTACTCTAAAAATTAGCTGTTGAGGTGGGAGAACCAACCTACTTATATACCCCATTGAGCATCCCATACTACTCAATATGAGACTTAGTATCCCATACTATTAAGTCTCCATTAGTTTTCTGCATAAAAAATAAGTGTATTAGAATATTAAGTTTCTAAGATTCTGTTTCTTTCTCGCTTTCACTTTAGTTTTATTGCCCCACTAGATTGATAATCTGTAAAAAAAGTTTCTATTTATATTTGCATAATTCTGTTTGATTTGACTTTTCATGTGATCTTTGCCGTTAAATTTGATTTGCAAATGAGGTTCTAGTAGCATTTGAACATTTGGATGCATTTGAATATCTATAAAGGAATCTAGTGGTGCACTTGGATAAATGTTAAATAAATTTAACTGTCTTTTGTTAAAGTAGTTTGTCCTTACTCAGGTCGGATGAAGAAATTGGTACATTGTCTCCTTTGACTGTGAGCCTTTCTGCTGGATTCTCAGCATCAATTGCTGCTGCTGCTTCTCACAGTTTTGATACTGCACACAGTAGATCTCAGTGTACCGTGCTACCAAAGGTATTGTCAGTTTTACTAAAAGTGTCAAATTTTAAAGCCAAGTTCAGTGTTGTCTATGGTTTATCTTTTTTCTTGATCATACATGACTTGTTAATTTACCATAATATAAAGTATAAACCAGAAAAATTAAACAATTGTTTGCTTCTTCTTCTTTTTAATGTTTTTGGCTGTTGACATTTATATTCCTTGTGTTCAGTGTGTTGGTGATAAACTAAGCTATCATGTTTTACAAGGGGAAAAACCTCTGTAGTCCTGAACAGTAACTGGCAGATTGCTTTATCACCTGTGGTCTTGTTAGTGTAATTTGCAGAAGAAAAAGCAGAAAAGAACTATAGCAATGGAGTTTGACTTTTCTTGTATATTATGTCAACCACTTTGAATTCATGGTCCACTGTTTTGATCTCTTGGATAGAGTTAGACATTTGGTATTGAGGGTGGTGAGTGGAGATTTTGATGTATTTACATGAAATTTGGCCTTAGAAGTTAAAAAAAAAGGAGGTTCATGCTCCAAAACCCTTAGTCATGATCGTATGATGTGCATTTAATGCTTACCTTTCCTAATTGGATGAAATTTTTTGGGGTAAATTATAAACTATCTACTTGTTTTGCAGTTTGGTCCTGAGTTTTGTAGTAAGCACATTATTTTGGAGGATTGTCTTAATGTAGGCTTCAACTTAAAATTCTTAGGGAATGCAACAAATTTGAGTTTTTGGTGGTGGGATAATCAGACTTGTGGAGTACAACCAATTTTATTGGTCTTTTTTAAAGTTTATTCAATGCCATTGGGTGTCTGTCATCTGAGATGATCATTTCTGATTTCACAATTGTTGTAATTCATTGTCAGTCATCTCGAAAGTTGAGGGACAGCACACACACACTGATTTTACTGAGTCATATTCATTAGTGTCACATTATTCAGATTTTTTATTTTTTATTCAAATGTTAGTGGATAATCACTAAGTATCTAGAAGTTAATACACTCGGTCAGTTGTATTATTTCATGAATTTGATGTAACAGTAACTTCATACGTGTTACCAACCTATCTCACATTCCTTATGGTTTTTTTGGGCTTACAAGATCAAATGCTTGGAAGCTACGTATCTCTTGTTCATATAGATTGTAATTTGGTGAAATTATATTTAAGCAAACATTAAACTGATTTAAACTTGGTTTCTTTAATCTGATTGTCCATAACCAAGGCTCTACAAATTTTGTGGTTACAGTTTGTCTCAATGGAGAGAAAACTTCTCAAATGGAGGCTACCTGGAAACAGGTTTGAGAGATATACTGGGATCTACCCTTCTGATAGGAATCTCCTGTCGCGTGGAATTTGGTTGCGGATGGCTCGGTCTGGGTTTGCTTCATTCATGATCGTAGGAAGTTATTTCTTTGCCATTGATCGCCTTGCTACTAGTTTGACTTGATTGCTACGTTGTGTCCTCTGTTTCTTTCCTCTCTGTGGGAATGGTAGTTGCATAAATAGACGTGCTATTGACCTACTGTGTACTATTTATTTGAAAAAAGCAGAAACTAGTTCTTTGTAGCTTGTTGGAATCAAGCGGCAAATTAGTATTATTGTAACTAACCTTGTCCTGAAATTGCGAGGGACAAAGAAAGAGGAAGAGAAAAAGAATAAGAGTTTTCTTAGTTGATAAGATTTTTCCCCCTTTTCCTTATTCTTTTTTAATATGTATAACATGCCCTTTTGAGTTGTGGGGATCTGAATTTAGAACATGGATTTTTTTTTCCTCCTCAAGTTTTTATTTTTGTTGAGAAGGCTATTTTTTTAACAATATGTACGAAGGCCCTTTTGAGTTGGGGGATTTAAATTTATCATTGGGAATTCCCCCCCCCCCTCCAAATGAGAGCTTGTTTTCCATGTCTGTTTATTTTAGCAGGCTACTCTTTGAAAGGAAAGAATTATATTTCAATACAAAAGTGATCAGATTCTAGAATATCATATTAGTTGAGGTATCTAGTTCCCCTTTACATCGCTCACTAGTCTACATATTGTGCTTTGAAAGAATATCTAAGTTGACCAATTATTTTTCAATAGATGTTATACATAACTTACATAATACAGCTGGTGTATGATATGTTTTAGTATTTTGGCTGATATGTTACAAAACGAAAATCAGTTGTTCTTATCCTACAAAAAGGGGAAAAAAAGTCATTTGTTTTTGTTTAAGTATCATAGGTTTAGTTCTGATATCAATAGAGCCCCATATTAGGTTAACTATATTGATTCTCCTAAACTACCAGCTTTTGGGAGGGGTTTTTTCACCCTCCAGAAACAACTATCTATTGATATCAGAACTAGTGGTGGGTGAAAAAGGCTACTTGTGACTGAGAAAATTGTTGCAGAGGGTAGCTTGCTGGGTTGTTTCCTTTCTTAGGGCAGCCAGCTGATGAAAATCAAGGTTGTATGGGATGCATAGTCTCATGTTAAGGAGTATGAGATGTTCTATGAAATGATCAACTGAGTCAGTGTTCTTACTTCAATAACTATCTTTTAGGGAAGCATTCTCCATCCTACTTGAGCGTTCATCAAATTTTCTTTTTGGTGAAGGAGTTTCATCAATTCTATTTAATATATATATTTGTGGCCCTCAGTTTTCTTAAATCCTTATGGCGCAGAGCGCGAGTATCTTGTCCTCTCTATTTGTTTGGACCCATCACTTCTGAGGCAAGTTGTCTCTTCCTTGGGCATATTTAATTCACTCAGCACTTTCATCTGATAAACCTTTTTGCCATTTGGGTGAATCTTTTGGAGTGGGGTTGACTTAGTTTGAACTTTTCTGTTGACTTATTGATGGTTGCATGGATAGAAGAATCAATGGTTTTAGCATAAATTAACTTCACTCAAAAGCCACAGTTATCGGCTTCACAATCATGCTTGCTAGTTGCAACTTTTTGCCAATGCTTTTTTTAAAATAAAAAAAGCCATCATCATGCCTAGAAAACAAGCAAGCCAAGGAAGGTCAAGATGGTTGGGATGGGTACATGTCAAACACCTGCTTGCCCTTTATGTCTTTATTTACACATAAATTTTGTTTCAAACAACGCAAAGCTTTGTGAGCAAGTTGCGAAAACTAGGCCCATTGGGAAATGGTTTCATGACTTGTGTAATCATTATAGCTTCCAATTTGATTTGGCATTTTCAGCTTTCCATGTCCAAACAAGAAGCATATCGTGTCTGTTACTGTCATGGATGAATAGCAGTCAGACAGACACATTTCTTATGGAGTCTATCAATAACAACAGGTTGAGTTGTGTAGTAAAATTCTTTTCAAGTTCTAATTTTACAGTCATTTGTCAAGCTTTTATTGCAGGTCAAACTTATATCTTGATCCAGTTTTCTCAATTTTTGAAGAGTGTGAATGATATATATATATATATATATATATGGTCCGTAGTGAGATTTAATTATGTGGGATTGAGAGGGACAGAGTCTAATTATGTATTTTTAGTAATGATGTTGTTGGTGGCTTTGAAGTTGCCACTGAAAAACACATGCACTCTCTCTCTCTCTCTCTCTCTCTCTCTCTCTCAGTGAGTCTCTGTGTCTGTCTCTATCTCTCTCTTTATGTTAAGGCGCATGTGGTATGTTAATAACGAAGAGGAGCACGAGTGAGATGATTAGGAGGCTCAGTGGTTACGAGCTGATTAAGCAATGAAATACTATTATTATAAACACACATACTCTTCTTTAAAGCGATCAAGCAGATGGAATTTCCCAGACCAACATTTTTCTTTTTGCCCAACCAAGATCGCCCCCCCTCACATAAGGACAAAACCCTCCATTACTTTTTTAAATTTTCACTAAGTACGAAGTTTCAGATATTGGATTCTATTCTAAGGTTCAGTTAAAAAAAAAATGTTCTAAATACACCAAAAGATATTCCGTGTTATAGGTAAGATTTGACGATTGTTGAATTCAATTAAAAATAGTTATCCTAACATTATTCTTTCTCACACGCACACGTGACAATCTGATTGAGTTAGATTTGAAAATTTCAGGTCTAATTAAGGCAGCTTTTCCAAAAGCCTTTTTTTTTTTTTCCATCCACACAAATTCAAACTTGATATTTTATGTTTAAGTGATTCTAGCTCCTTTCATTAAAATCAATTATAGTCAGTTAATATTATTCTTTTCTATTTACAAAGTTTGAACTTCTTAGTTTTAAAAACAACTCATTCCATTCGACCAAACCACCATTAGTTAGAAGTATTGTTATTATTTAGTGTTTCTAACTTGAAGAATAATTAAAGCAGCACGATATAGATATTCAAATTAGAGGATTGTTATCTCTTTGGACTTTTGATCTCTAGTAATACAAGTTCATTGACTTAATATGTCAATGGTTCTTGATTGAAAGGGTTGAATTCATACACAGAAAGGTGAGAAAATTCAGCTCAAATCTTTTTGACCAATTGAACTGACTTGCGATATTGACACTTGGCATGCCTCTTCATGACTAAAATTTGTTTATTTATAATAAAATAATTTTATTTGAAATATGTAAATCAATAATCTTGTCAAATAAGCAAAAGCATGTCAACATGTTGACTATTAAATTAAGTTTATTTTTTTACGCCTATCATCAAACCTACTTTTGTGTTTTTGGGGGGGAATGAATGAAACCTACATGGTTGAAAGGAGCCATGTGACTTGGGATTAAATAAAAAAAAAAAAGGTGGTTCATAATTGAAATTTTACTTCAATAGTTGTGAACCTATGACTTGAAACACAAGGTTATGCTTCAGATACATTCTTCTTCCTGACTTGTGATTGTAATTATCGTAAATGTGAGCATGAAGGAACACAATGTGCTCAAAGCCAACACAGGTATGGTTCCCATTGGTGTACCTCAAAAGCTAATACTATAAAAATTATATATGCATATACTTCATCGGTTCTAATTTATGAGATATTTTTTCTGAAAAAATTAATGCCAATGAAGTTGAGAATCTTAATTTTTTTATAAACTTTCAAAATTACCCTTCATTAATAAGGGAGGAAGGGAGGGAAATTTATTTAAAAAGTGAACTCATAAAAGATAATATTTCAAAATATCTTATATTTTGAAATGCTAAATCACAACTAAAAATGTCTTATAAAATGGAACAGAATAACATATTCATAACAACCTTCAAGTTTCATCTATATTTAATTATTTTCATTTCAAACCTGAAAAGAGAATGTTGGCTGAGAATGCTACCTCTTTAATTCCCTTTATTATATTTATTGTTTAGTTGTAAAAATAGTATAGTGGGTAATGAGACTTGTCAAAATCATGACAAATCTCAAGGATTTAAAAATACTTATAAAAATATTTATAAATTACCTATTAAAAAAATTTGCACATTAGTAATGAGGTTCGAACTTATACCCTTATGCGGTATGAGTCTCATTCTTATCATACAAAATTAGAATAACCTTTGCCAACAACTATTGTATATATTCTTAAAATGTGAGAATTAAGCCTTTATGCAAATGTTGGACGTGGATTATTGATCCCATCTTTGATTATTTTGAAGTTCAAAAAATGTATTATTGTTTTAACTTAATTAAAGGGAACTGAAAGTAAGTGGCCCAAATGCATGATATATTAAAGTTGGAGAACTGAAAGTAACTTCAAAATAATGTGATTTCATAGTGTGGCCCAAATATATCTGACAATCATTAACAACAATGGTGTCAAATCATGTTAAGAATTACATGACCAAATGCACATAATTCATCTCCATATTTTTGCTACAATAATTGATATTTAAATTTTAAATTTAATCATCATCCCTAATGATATCAACATATAATTAACCCCAATTTTGGAATCTTCTACCTTGGAATCCATTATATGTTCACCCCATTAATCAAAAGCTAAAAAAAAAAGACATAATTTTGTCCTAAAATTACAAACTAATTGCTTGGTCATTATCTTGTCTGTTCAAGTGGATATACATGAGTAACACCTTATGGATATTACTATGTTGTGACAAACATAAGCATATAAATATAAATATATACATAAAATAAATAAATAGTGATTGTGATGATGCTTCTAAAGCATGCCAGTATATATGCTTGCATCACACATGACTTGATGCTTCCCTAAGCAGTCACCAATTTTTATGAATGATATATATGAACCAAAAAAATAAAAAAAATAAAAAAAGGAGAATATTGGCGAGAGCATATATTGTGAAACAAGACAAGTACCAAATACAGCCATCAAAGCATAGTAGGCAAAAGCTATAAAGGCTAATAGGGTTATTGCCACAAACAATATGCTCAGTTTTAAAGCTTTCTTCTTCACAGTGCTCAATGGGCTCCACAATCTCCTCTTCACGTTTCCATGAACTTACTTATAAATAACCTTTAATAACCTTTTTTCTCTATATATATATATATATATATCCACGATGGCTCCACGTGAGATCAATCACAACAATGCTTTGAAACTATACAAATTAATTAGCCATGCTTCATGAATCATCCTCTTCTACTTGGTCTTCAAGTTTTCCCTCTCTTTAGATCTCTTTCTTCAAGAAATTTAAATAAATCCTCTCAAGTGCAAATTAATTTTAAGATCCTATATAACTGCGGGTAATACTAGTAGCATCAATATTAAGATTATTTATATGAGAAACCTCTTTATAGACAGTGAAATTTGTTTTAGATATATTTGATGCAACTAATTATGTAGAGAATACATTAGCATAACAAGAGTTAGATGGATATACATAAGTACAATAATATAGTAGTATCTTGATTTTTGAGACAACAATTTAAGGGTATTCAAAACTAATTTAAATTGATTACACCATATCATACATACTAAACTAAAACTGAGATGTTCAAATTGGTTCCACCAAATCATATATACTAAATTAAATTGAGATGAACCAATGAAAATTGATTGTAAATAATTTATAAACAAGTTTTTGCCTATTGAAGCTTGAACCAAACTGATTCAAGCCTTAATATATTTATTTTATATATATATATATATATATATTTTATAAATTTCCCTAATGTTTTATCTTTCCCAACTTTAGTTGTTTACAAATTATTGAAAAAAAATTATTACAATTAGATAAATATTTTCTATAATTTTTTATGATATGTTTTAAATTTTATAATACTAAAGATGATTCATTGGTTTTTAATAGTTAAATGTGTTGATTAGTTGTTAAAAAATATTTTTTGTCCTAAAGAATTTTTTTTGTTAAATATAGTAATTAATAATTAAAAATTACCAATCAATATGTGTGTGTATATATTATAAAAAAATCTCACCACAAAAAAATTCAAACTTGATTTAAGTTTAAAGTAAATTGAATCAAACCGCTCAAAAACCAATTCAAATCAATAAGAAAAAAATTGAATAGGCTCCAAGTTTTGGTAGTTTTGCTCAGTTTGATATTCCCCCCAAAACTGAGCCAAACCGAGCTGTGAAACAATTGATGGGGACTCATTATAAAGAGATTTAGTTAATTGCTATGAAAAAAGATTAATAAATTTGATGAATACATGAATGAGTATACCATTTGGCATGAGTTGAAAGGATTATGACGGTTTAAGTATGGGATCGCAGTTTCAATCTATGCAAAAGTAAAAGGGGCATGAGGACTAGTTGCCCCTGTTTGGACTAAAAAATGTTTGAATTTGACTTGTTTATATATACCAGATATCAAATACCCCCCTGCATACAGTACACACGCACGAGAATATAACTAGAAAATTTGATGATTATGATTATTTCCTGTTTTGCAGTAGTTGAAAGGGCTGCATCTATACCAAATAGAGTTACAGTTGAAATCCACATGTAATTTGCTGTTAAAAGATTTTTTTCTTGATGTATTTCATAGCTGCTATTGGGAATATGCCATAATAATTAATCTTTTAACAACGGAACAGTCATTGCAAAAAGAATAGTGCAACTGAAAATGTACTGCTCAAACATTGTCCTCTGTATAACTCATGATAATGATCATTGTTTTCAACCACGAAAAAGGAGGTGGAAGCTTGTCAAGATTATGGCAATTTTTTTAATTATTGTATAAAATCCTATTTATAAGGCAATTTCAACACATTTTATAAACTTTAAAATTCATTATCCATGTCTAAATAACGGGAAAAATTTATGATGATAATTCAACAGTTAATGAAACTTTTAGTTACTCGAATTTGCTTTAGTTATCAATTTTTTAGTCTTTATCAATAAAGTCCCTAATGTTTTAAAGCCATACCAATTAGTCCTTTTGATTTGAAGGAGAAATATCCTAAGAACAATTTTGTATAGTTATAAAACTTTGATGACTTGATTGGTGAAGGTCAAATTTCAATGACCAACTTGATAATTGAAATAAACTTGAGGGTGAAAAGTTTTATTATTCCAAAATTTATTGAAATGACTTATAAATAAGATAAAAAAAAAATCTTTCCCTCTGTCTTATAAATAGTCACGGATGGAGTGTATATGTATATATTGTGATAAGATTTCGTTTGAATAGTACTATCCGTTACATTGCATTTATCCAATTGAATCAAAGGTTCATGCATGCAACAGTATAGAAACAAAATGCTGCTGAAGGATGAGCATAATGATGATGACGATGATCCTTTGGTTGGATCGTATATTTTCTTTCATTTATATGTGTTAGTGGCTGAGCATCCCACTTGATGATGTGCACAGAGCCTGAAATTTCCAAGAAACCTCAATGTGGGATCTTTCTAAGCCATAACGTCACTCTGCACATTCCCTTTTGTCCATAGATTTCATATTCACTGCCCCACCACTTCATTTTCACCTATGTATACATAGCTAGCAGCCTTTTATTTACACACACTCACACATATATGTGTGTATGTATATATATATATATATTATATGTGTGCACATGAATTAGATTGAAGTGTCAAGAAAGTTGGCTCATGACTAATATTGGTGAACTTTTTTTGTTGATATGTGTCTAGCTAGTAACTGCAGTAAGTAATCTTACAATTAAGTTGGGAACAAGCTAATCTGCTATATATGATTTTTTTTTTTTTTTGAGAATTTGAAAGGAAAAATTAAAGTAATTATGACGATGATATCCATTTGGACAATGCAGCTAGGTATAGGGAAGCTAGCTAATTGGGAAGGCTGATTTCATCAAGATCATCCAGTGACAAGAAAACTTCATCCAAACACGAGAGCTCAGTTCCTCCATCACCACCACCACCATCATTATCATCCTCATCACGCTCGTAGACTCGACAAATCACCCATTTACAGTGGTCCTGTAGTACACAAACACTTAATTGTATCAGAATAATTAATGAGAAAGTTTAGTATAATCTGTACTGATGACTTGTACTTTATATATATGTGTGTGTTGTACTGCTACTTACTGTTTTAGATTTCCTCTTTGATGATGATCTGCTAGAAGATGAAGATGAAGAAGAAGACGAAGCAGAATCTGATAGGCGATACTCCTGCATTATCCAATTGGTCTTGATACCAGAAGGTGATTCTCCCATGAAGAAGATGAAATATTTCTTGACTCCAACAATTTTAGTTCCTGAGTCTGTCAGTATTGGCTCTTCCATTCCCATTGGCTTCCAGTACCCATTATTACTCACTCGATTCTGTGTCCTTCTGCTGAAGTAGTACCATTGATTCCCTTCACCCAGAGCTTTCCCTGCAAATAAAAATCACAATTAATATAAGCAGTAGCAACTATACATTTCTGTATTTCTACTACTCCGCCACATGAATACCAAAATCTCAACCTGATCCCTCCCCCACATTTTTCTTTCAAGTCAGTCCCTGACTCATCATTTACAAAGCCAAAGCTTGGAACTTAAGTGAGAGAATCTCTATACCGTGAAGATCCCAAGGATCGTAGGGGAAGAGGTCAAGATCAGGGATGACATCAGGGTGGCAAGGCAAGAGGGAAGCTTTTCTGTGAAGGAAGTGGACAACAAGCTCTTCATCTGAAGGATAAAAGCGAAAGCCAGGGGGAAGATTGGCATTATTGTTATCCCTGTGATGCTCTGAATCTCCCATATGTAAATAGAAGAAGAAGCTTGATGAAAGATCCAACCAAGAGGAAGATCAGTACTAAGTGAGAGTATAGTGATGATCGATCAGAGTGAAAGCTAAGTGTGTGTGTGTGAGAGAGAGAGAGAGAGCAAAATAATGGAAAGATGAAGATGGATTGGAAGGAATATAAGGTTTGAATTTATAGAGGGAGAGATCAGAGAGAGAGAGAGAGAGAGAGAGAGAGAGATGGCGTGAAAGTGAAGGTGGTGATGAATCTGAGAGAACGTACACATATATCAGAGACGCATTTTAAGAAGCACAGAGGAAGGTAGGAGGCAAGAGGGGTGAGGCGGCTCATATATAACGGAACGTCATGTGTGTTGTGTGTGTGTGTGTGGGCGCGTGTTTACATATACAGATATATACATATATATATATATATATATTAGAGAGAGAGACAGGGAGGGAGGGAGATTGATAGATAGTCCCAACAAACAGAGAGAAAACGGGATCTCCGAAAGTGTGTTGGAGGGAGGCTGGTGGGAGAAAGTGTGCATGGCACCCGATGCTTGTATTTACAAGTTTTTTTCTTAATTCCTATTTCATTTATATAATGTGTGTGTCCTTGGAAGTCTAGAAATTTTCAAGTTACATATAATAAATATATGTATTTATAACCAGTTTGGTCTTCTTCTTTTTTAATGTTGACATATTGGCTATTGGAGTGAGACATTCTTGGATCTTGTCTAGGCTTTTGGGCTAATTAAGTAATATTATGTTAACTTTGAGAAAACTGAGGTATCTCTCCCTCTCTCTCAATTTTTTTTATCAAGAGAGAATTAATACGTTTGTTTAAAATTAATGAAAAAGAAGTGATTTTATTAAGTTATGCAAGGTGAAATTTTAAGAGCACCTTAAGCTAAATATTTTTCTAGCTCTGTTTATAAAATCACTTCCATCATATTTTATTAAAATTAAAGAAAACATTAACATTTATTAACTATGTTTTAAAATTTAATAAGTTTTTAACATTGCCCCCATTAAATATACATTTTTTAACACTATATTTTATCTCCTCAACATTCAATGGATAATAAAAAGATAAATTTGTATTGAAAATTAACTTATAAATATGACAAAAAAAATCCTCTATCTACCTTATAAATAAGACTAGAGGAAATAGATATGAAAACTTGTTGGAAGAAATTTAATTTAAAAATTTTCCCAACAACTCCCTTGTATAACTTTAATATAAAAAAACCTTTGTTAAGTTTAAAGAATTGGGCAATATTAATCTTTTGGAATATATATCTTCCATCCTTGATGATGAATAGGGTTTTTTTTAATCAAAGATTATACTATATATGAAATATATATATATATATATATATATATGGATTCTTAACATAATATCTTAAACGTTTCTATAGTAAAAATTTTATTTTAACATATATTTTTAGTAATTTTTAATTAAAACTAAATTTCAATTAAATTAATCATGAGTTTAGAACTTATACTCGATCTCTTCTTTGATATCAATGTGGAAAAATTATTTTATTTTTATGGCATAAAAAAAGGATATAAAATATTTATTAATTTGTCATATTGATTGCTAAATTAAATTTATATTATCCTTATTTTTCAAGTCATAATTAATTTCATCTCACTTTGTGTATTAAGCGATTAAGATGGTGGTTTTTTAAAAAACAAATGAAAGAAATTAAAATTGGGAGTGCGGGTGCATGATGCATCACACTTCATGCTGATATCATGCACCTGCAGTGATCCACGTGGCAAACATCAGTATGAGTTTGGTCACGGACCAATTGAACTTGAGTGACCCACTCTTCTGGGGTGTCCCTATACATATATGTTTGCGTGCCCTTCATACTTCATAGTTATTAATATCAATTCATTCTCATATATTTGCTTTTAATATATTAATTTTCCATTCAAGGTGGCATTTTGTTTCCTCCCCCAACACTTTCAGGTACAATGCAAGAATTTCTCCATAAAATTAAAAAATTACTCTCCTTATTTAAGGCGTTAAATGTTTAAAAATATAAAATATTTTTAATATTTTAATATGTGATCATTGTTTTTTTTAAAAGTATCCTTATTGAATAAATTATTTTATATTTATATTAGGATAAAATTTTCTATTAAATAGGAGGTAAATATGAAAAGATAAAATTAATTTAAAAATAAGTAATTACTTTATTGAAGGTAAAATTCAGTTAATAATATCTTATATTTTTTAACTGATGGAGTATTAAGTGAAAATTGATGGTTCAAACTTTGAAATATATTGAGGAGTTATTTGACCCTATGATATTTAAATATTATTAGGTGATTATATATATAAAACATAATCAAAAGATTAGAACAATGAAGAGGAGAAAGACACTAACGTCCTAAAAGAGAGAATTTATGATAAATAGTCCCCAACAAATTTTTTTGATAATTATTGACTTAGACAAACTATAAACAGAAATATCAACGGAAAAATGAAAGTAATTGTATTTATAATGTAAATATCTAATTCATAATTGAAAATTTTTAATTTATAATTATTTGAATCTGTATTTACAAGTTTTAAAAAAAATTATCAAAAACTTTATTATCATTACTTTTTTATTTCAAGATTTAACAGTCATTAGGGAAGGCAATGAACAATTAATTTTGTGATAAATATAGGACTGAGGATTAAGTTGATGTTGAAGTGATTTGCTAGGGTGAATATTGGTGGGACCAAGGGTAAGGGATGGCCCCCAAGACTAATATATAATTACTCAATTATTAAATCTTGCATAAGAATGAAACACACATCACAGACAAATAAATAAAAAATAAAAATATGATAGTAATGAGCTACTTTGCTTATAACTTTTCCAACCATAAAATTATATATATTATTATTCATGTTGCCACCTCCCTCCTTGATTATGATCTTAGTCGGCAATAATATTTCTTCCATTCAACTAGACAACATTATTATTATTATTCTTCTTCTCTTCCTGTTCACAAATCTAATAATGAGGACTTTCTTGGATTGACTCTAATTAAGCTTAATCATACCAATTAGTTCTGATTTGAAAAGCAAATCAAGTTGGCCTACTTCAATAATTTCTTTAAAAAATGAATAAATTATACTCATAGTCCATTGATCCTATTTATAAGTCACTTTTAATATGTTTTAAAAGAAATAAAAAGACTTTAAAACTTTTTAAAATATTTTTAAAAATTTAATAAATTTCTAATTTTATCCAATTTAAATATGCATTTTAATAATAGGTTTTACCTCACCAATATTTAATAAAGATAAAATGGTAAACTTATAATAAAATGTCAATGACATGTTTTATAGATAATACAAAAAATATTTATTTCACAGCCTTATAAACAGAACTAGAAGGAGTTAGTGACTTGGTGATTTGATTTATTTGTAGAATTGACCTATATGAAGATTTTTTTTTTTCAAAAACTTAAGCAGTTGATATAATTAAAATTATTTAAACAAGTTGAAAGCTTAATTAATTAATTTCCATTTTTAAATATTTTCCCTATAAAGTCAAATTTCTTATATATGCTGTGCAAATTTAAAGCACTGGAAAAATTATGAAAGATAACAATAAAAAGAGAGTGGAGAAAAGTTTGAGTAATATATATGATAGCAAAAATTATAGGTACCTTTGTCATGTGTATTTATTAATTGCTAATTCCTATCTTGTACTGTCTCTCAATGACATGATAACATTTATACGTATCAAAGTGTTTGGCCAATTTTCTTCCCCATCAAGTATTTGTTTCTTATTATGATTTAATTTGGGGCGACAAACACATTTAATGTTAAGTACTATAAATTACTACACTCTTTAGGATATTTCTGAGTTGAATTGAATGAGGAACATGGAAGGACTAATTGGGGAGAGACAACCAAAAAATTTAGTTTACTTAAATTTCAATCCCATGATATTTCAAGTTGAAGATATAATGGATGAAAAGTAATTAAAAGGGGAAGTTTTTACATAAATCCAATTAAATAAATTTTTAGTGATTCATTTGAATTCTTTTAAGGCACAAGCTCTATAAGAACAACTTTACAATTAACAAGAGAGAGTTAATTAATAAAAATAATAATAAAAGAAAGTGAATTAATTTCATATGTGTGTGTATGTATAAACTAAGACTCATCACCCTTGATACATAACTCCAAGTCTTATTTATAAGTCATTTTTAATAAATTTTACCTTAATTAATAAAAATTTAAAACTTATTAATTATGTCAAAAAATTTAATTAAATTTTTAATTTTATCCTTATTAAATATACATACTTTAAGAATCTGCTTTCTCTCACAAAAATTTAATTATATTGGGATAAAAGAAAAACATGTGCCAATAGACATTGGTCCTAGTGGAAAGGACTATAGTCACTTGAGCCATAGGTCTCGAGTTCAAGCTCATGTGAATGCAAAAAACACTTTTGAAATAATCATCCTGAATTGACCCCGGCAATGCTTGAATTTGGTTTGGTCAATATTACCATATCAAAAAAGAAAAACTTGTAATATAAAAAAATAATGACATGACTTACAAATCATAAAAAAGTTATGTCCTTGGCCACCTTATAAATAAAATCAAAGGGATATATCATTTTGTTCCTCACTTCACATGTATATATCTATCAAATGATATCAATCTCAGTATTATACATGCAGTATCTTGCTCAAGTCATTATTTAAGAAGTGAACAATTGGGACGTTCATGTTCATTTAGTGTTGGATGAAATAGAAGAGATGATGTTGAATTGTAGGGCATTGATAGAAGCTGAGTACCTTTTGTTTCTGCCTTGAAAGCAATTCTTTAACCAAATCTCTCATGAAACCTACCTTCATTAATTGCCTGTCTTAAATTCTTTTCATTTCTTTTGAAGTATTACCCTATTTATTGTATTATATATTGTAAAAAATTTTATTAACTTCTTTAAAATACCTCTCTCTCCTTCATTATTGTTAATTTGAAAGTTAACTCATGAATCTTCAATAATTAATAGTATACTTTCAACTTTCAAGAGCGCTAATGCAAAGTTATATAAAAAATTAATAAATGAGTAATATGGGAAGAAAATTGTTAATATTACACATTTCCCTATATTTCAGACAAAAAAAGCTTCTAAAAGTTGTCCTATATTTTAGACCAAAGGGATTAATTATATGCAAAATAGTGAGAAATCTTTAATCCTTGTTCTTCATCTCATGACCTTCTTAATTACTTGCCCAAGTTATCAAATCTTGGAAATTAAAGGAAGTTTT